ATCTAAGACTCTTGGAGGGCAGCCACTTTCCTACCATTGTTACACAAAGATACCTGGGGGTACAACTCCAATTGACTTCTCTGAAACTTATCTCAACGAGATTATGCTGCACATCTACATGATGTCATTAATTTCACCACTGGTGTAAAATGTTGCAAAATCATCCTCACTAAATAATATAATATGGCGACAGTTTTGTGCACAATAGATATGCTTATTGTGTAGATTTGTACTGTATAAAATGTAAATGCACTAGCTTGATTCCAGACTGGAAACACACTCTAAACGTCTATGCATATTGCTTAAAATTTGAAACATGTTTTTCTCCCTTCCATTCTTTTGCTCCAAAATAGCCACAGCATTATTACTTTCAGGTAGCTCAACATACATATTCTTATTATTATACGTTACTGTCACCATCAACCTAATTTATATACCGTGTTTACCCGAAAATAAGACAGGGCCTTATATTAATTTTTCCTCCAAAAAACACATTAGGGCTTATTTTCAGGAGATGTTTTTTTTCATGTACAACAATCTACATTTATTCAAATATAGCCATGTCATCTTCTTCTGGTTGGTGCACAATGGTAGAGAGTGGGGTTTCATTTAACTGAGGCTTATTTGGGGGGTAGGGCTTATATTACAAGCATCCTGAAAAATCATACTAGGGCTTATTTTCAAGTTAGGTCTTATTTTCAGCGAAACAGGGTAGCAGCATCAATAATTTACACAGTGCTATTCAAAGCAACAGAAGCAAAAGAGATCACTGTCCAAAGATCTTAAGCTGCAGTTCTTTTTTAGTTTGAGTTTCTCAAATGTTACTATTTTTTTTAAAAAAGAATAATCTAGATCTGTAACAATTCATAAATGCATAAGTATTGCACATTACTTATAAAATGTGTGTCTACTTCAGAAATTTGTTCAGATCCTCTGATAATACGTCTATTTATTTAACAAGGTGATGTTCCAGACCCAATTAAACAAATCATTTGCAGGAGGAGGCTCTTCCCCCCCTTCCATTTTGTTATTATTTAGCAGCAACAAGTGGACTGGAGATCAATTGAGTAGGCTGATTCTTTCATACATCATTTTATGTAACCCAATGAATGACCTTAGCATTTAATGATTTACTGTGTTTCCCCAAAAATAAGACAAGGTCTTATATTAATTTTTGCTCCAAAGACCACACTAGAGCTTATTTTCAGGGGATGCTTTATTTTTTTTCATGTACAATCTACGTTTATTCAAATACAGTCATGTCATCTTCGGCTTGCTGCACAATGGTGGAGGGTGGGCTTTCACTTAACTAGGGCTTATTTTTGGGGTAGGTCTTATATTATGAGCATCCTGAAAAATCATACTAGGGCTTATTTTCAGGTTAGGTCTTATTTTCAGGGAAACAGGGTATTATTACACTCTGCTTATTTATACTCTAAATTTTGTCAGCAGGGACAAAACAATTAAACATTTTCTTTCTCTAAGCCAAGCTTCAGTATTTGCCTCATAAGACGTTGGCTGAAACCCTGTTGTGTAGCTCTGCATGCGGAATACAAAGTGCACAGTGTTGAGAGAAAGCATGGTGGGGTAGGCAGTTCCACATGCATGCCACACAACGGGAAAAGCAGCAGCTGCACAAAGCTGTTTGTCTGTGCCTAACACATGGCACAGTTCCCTTGGTGTAACTTTTTAAAGCCACAATTTGCAGAATTTCAGTCAATTATGAGATGACTGTGCACCTAACATGGCACGCCTGGTGGAATTTTAAAAGATTTAAATAATAACATCAATGATAATATTGAAGCAGAAGCACTATATTTAATATTTCAAGCTGCTCTGGAAACTTGTGGGAATTTCAGAATCTGTATTCAATTTCAATAAAAGGTCAGACCGCTAATAAAAATGAAGAAGATATTGGTATATCTAGGAGAATTGATAATAAGTTAAAAAAATAGGATATGGCTTTATAAAATTCTAAGCCAAGGCTTTAACCTGTTTCACTTGTATGGCAACTCTCGATGTATCACATCTGTAAGTGCATCACACCACTAGATGGCAGCTGAAGAGCACAAACGAAGTACAGCATCCCAACAAACTACTGTGTCAGCCAGCCGGCCAGCTTATTCACAAAATATGTATATAATTGGATAAATCCAATGTGCTTTCATTTTCTATGTGCTCTGAGGCTTGGATTTACATGTTCTTTGAGTATAGGAACCACATTATGACTGCACTGCCTCAAAGTCAGCACCTTAAATATTCTGTATTTTCATACAGATAAATTGAATACATGGTGATGCCTTACAGACACACCAGACTGCATTCCTGCCTGCTTGGAAGATAAGACTTGGCAGAGTTCTTATCCAGCCTGCTGCTATGTATGTTTTTAGCTAAAAATGCTTAGATCAGATTCTGGGTCCTTCTTAATACAACAGCCTACAAAAGCTCGTGTTCTAATGCAGTGGTTCTTAACCTTTGTTACTCAGGTGTTTTTGAACTGCAACTCCCAGAAACCCCAGCCAGCAGAGCTGATGGTGAAGGCTTCTGGGAGTTGCAGTCCAAAAACATCTGAGTAACAAAGGTTAAGAACCAGTCTTCTAATATATGTTAATCTTTAAGGTGTTGCATGACTCTACATTCTGCTATAGTGCTACACTCAAGGGATGATAAATATTCAAACTGTACAAGCCAATGCAGTTTTAAATTTTATAATTTAGTACCCCAAATCATTCTCCAGTCCCAACATTCATTCATGCTTCCACATGGCAGAGCACTTTGCATATGTCAATAGAAATTTTGTACTTTTATTCCATGCTGCCTGATATCATGTGATTCAGGGGTAATGCTGGATATATTCTCTCCTAATGCTGCTGCAATATAAACTATTACAGATTTAACAAGTCATTCAAACAGAACATTGATGCCTATTTAACCACAGCTAAGCATCACAAAACACACCAGACATCTCTGGTGAGGCAAAACACTGGCCACAAAAAGAGTTGGAAAAATGTGACTTGTGTAGTTCAAGAACTAAAAAAATAAAGCCAGACAAAGTAACTTGCAAACGAAAGCTTCATGACATGAATTATAAACTTTTCGGTCTTTTAAGTAGCACTTTCAGAATATAAGAATGTTTTTATCTTTTGGTTGTTGTGGGTTTTTTGGGCTCTTTGGCCATGTTCTGTCCTCTGAAGATGCCGGCCACAGAGACTGGCGAAACGTTAGGAAGAACAACCTTCAGAACATGGCCAAAGAGCCAGAAAAAAACCACAACAACCATTAGATCCTGGCCGTGAAAGCCTTCGCAAACACATTATCTTTTCTTAATCCACAGTGTTTTTGCAATACTTTTGCAATAGCTCCAAATATTCACACCAAGCACTTTGAAGAAGGTATTTTAGAGATGTTGCAAGCAGGTTCACCACAGAACCTCAGAAATGTAGTACAGTTACATGAGTACAAGGGAAAGAACAAGAAAGGGGGGAGGGGGAGAGGGGGAGGGAGGGAGAGAGAGGGAGAGAGAGAGAGAGAGAGAGAAATTTCACTGATTTTGCTCAGAGGGCAATCTTCTTGCAATGAAGCAACAATTTAACTGCCAGTATGTGTTGAAACTTGAGAAAAAGGAAGCAAAATGAAAAGAACAGATCTGGATCCAGCTGAAAACTGCAGAGATGGGTAAAACCAGTTACTCTGTCTGCTCTTCCACAAACTCCCTGTGTCACATTTTGCTAAGGATATAGTACTTCCATGAGTCAGTATGTCCCAAAGAATCCTTTATGTATTCTATACCAAAAGGCATCATTGTAAAAGCTGTACCAAAAGGAGGAAACAATGGGGATCAAATACACACCAATCTAATTTCTTGATAGTTTTTTTTCCCCAAATGCAATTTTTAGAGTATATCCAAACTTTATAGGAATTGTAGATAGTGTCAAAGAGCACAGAGGAACGAGTGTGAGATAAAGGCAAGTAAATGATGATTGCTGGAGAAGGTAAATGGAACTATGTGCTGTTTCAGAGTGGTTAAATCCTCTCTTGGTCAAGATCAGACCATTTCTAGTGCTGAACTTTGGCTGGTTTTTAAACTTTCACTAGGCAAACATTCAAGCTTTTTGCTCCAACTACACAGGTTAGGAACTTGCATTTTCAAAAATTACAAATAAAAATGATTTGTGCTATTTTAGATATGAAGTTCTGTACATGCTGAAACACCATGAAAATAGCTACTGCAACACTTTCAATAATAAGTACTATACACACTAGGGTTGCTCAGAGAATAAACAACAATAAGGAAAGTGTATGAATTAGCTGGTGAGAGATAAAAAATATGGGGTTGTTATAATGTCTGGAATCACATTACATCTCCAACTGTAATTTTATAAACAGAGCAACAGGCAACAGTGGATTCCCTTTGAATGAAGTTTTTCTGTATTACAGTAATTAAGTAACACACACTTCCATTCACGGGCAATAAAGCAATAACAATTTATTAAGATTTGGGCACCTGTTATTATGCAGCTTTATGTACAAGCTTAACATTTGGCTGGATGACAGCACAATCTCTTACCAGTTCATTACCACCACAACATAAGTTTGCACTAAATGCTCCTTTCCAAGAACTCTCCTAGCTGGATCCTGCTCAGTCTTGGTCCTCCGATCACAAGGCAGTAAGTAGGCTTGCAAAGTGCAATAAAGTTGCCTTTGAAAACATGGGCAAGCAATCTCTGTTCCCGTGCTTGCTTTATTTATGTGCACAGAAAGACAGAGCAGCTTCGAATCACCTTCCAAACAGAATAATTTAGGCTGAAACCCCTGCATGCTTGCTAGATGAGCAAACATAAACAGTGGAGCATTGCAAGAGGGTAAAACAGATGTGTGCGCACATGCACTTTAGATGAGCTATCTGAAACTAGATTTCAGTAGTTCTTAATGTTTAATTTACTAGGAAGTAGGGTGTTACTGTTTGTCTTAAAGGGGTTAGGGGTTGCTCTGCCTCTTACCTCTTCTTTCTTCTCATCAGCACTTGGAACCAAATTGAGACTCAGCTGAGAGTGGCTGCTAATACCACTGTCTTCATTCATATCATCATAGTACACAGCCTGCACAGAGTCATGGAAGCAAACAGGGCTCTTCTCTAGCTTGGCAGAAGACCCCTCCCCCCTTTCTTCACTTTCCATTGAGCTGAGCGACAAGGTGCTGTGATGGTCAGGACAATGGAGATCCATATTGCACTTCAGGTTTTCAGCATTAGGGCTCTGAGGCTTGGGGACCACAGGTTTAACAGGGACAATAGAATGTTCAGTGCTGCAAGCAGACTGACTGGAACTTTGGGGCCCACCAGAGTCTTCATAAAAAACTTCATTAGGAACCATTCCAGCATCCTTGAGTGGAGGAGATAAACAAACAGAGTCTGAGAGATCACCAGATGATATCCTTTGGCTGCTATCCTCAAGTGTTAACACAGTAATAATCCCAAGACTGTCATCTTCAGAACTCTGGGTGCTAGATTTGGAAGGGGCTGAATCTGCATTACATCTGGGAGGTGGACACTTCCGCCTGTCACTTTCAGTGCTGCTAGAAACCCGCCGTGAATAATCATCATGTAGCCGACTGTTTGGTCTTGTTCTCTGGTTTTGTTCGCCGGAAGATGGAATTTCACTGTTAGGACTGTCTTTCTTCATTGTAACATCAGTGACATTGCTGACAAGTTTCAAAACTCTGTCAAAATCTTTTGCTCTAATTGGACTTTTCCAGCGTTTTGATCTCCGATCTGAGTTCCTATTGGTTTTGTCTGAGTCAGCTGAAGAAGTGCTTATTGTCCTCAGTGGAATTTGCTTCTCATTTACCACCTCAGTGAGGTTTGAGGCTGACTTCCTTTTGAATGAACTCTTCTTCAAAAAGTTCAAGTTATCTGTGCTCTTGCTCCTCCTGTAGATGACTTTGCTGCTTTCGGAATCTTTCACTACTATTTCGCAAATCTGTGGTTCCTGGGCAACAGGAGATACTGTCCTAGCACTGTCCTGAATTTTATCAGTGTCTACTAAATTTATACGACCAATCCCATAGGCACGCCTGATGCTGCGTGATCGACGCGTGTTTCTCAGGAAGGAATCGTCACTTTCCTCTCCATCAGAATTATCAGAAACCAAAGTATTATCTGTTGTGCCCTGAAAGTCATGCAGGGGCCCTGAATAAGAATACCGGTTTGTCTGAACTCTCACCACAGTACTATTTGGGACATGCTTTCGGATACTGTTCTCCGGCATGCTGTCATTTAAGTTGTCCAAGTCCTCCTTTCCTGGAATTCCTTGAAGAACTGAAGATTTTAATTTCTTGAAAGAGCCCATTTTCCTAATGGAAGACAAAGCATTCCAGGTTGAGGAGTTTCCCATTACTATCAGAGAATGAGGTCTTTCCACGTTAGAGACACATCTTTTCCGAGGAGTGGAGAAAAAACGCATGATTTTGGAAGGGCTGGCTTTATCTTCCTGGCTTTCATTTTCACAGCTACTGCTCATGTCACATCCACCACTGTGACATAAAGAAGTAGCATTGTTCCTGGATTCTTTATTATCCATTAATATGCAGGTAACAGATGTGCCATTTCCACAACCATTCTGATGTGTTGTCATGTTTTCAGTGCATCCAGGAGGATATGGGGAGCTGTAGCTCACATCCACAGTCTTCTCCTCTTCATCCTCTCCAAACTGAAGTCCTTCTTCATTTGAGCATCTTTGTGGGTTATTGTGTTCACATCTGTTGTGTGAATTTAGCTCTCCAGTAGTCTGCACTGCCTGCACCAAGAAAACAAAGCTGTCATTTAGCATTCTTCTCCACAGAAAAGAGGAATTATCCATACATAATACAAGGAACTCTTAAATAAAGGTCTTTCATGGAGCTGAGACTTTGAGGAGGAAATCAAGATTAACTTAACTATTGATAGAGAAATTAATTATGAATTTGCTTTTCTGAATAAGACACCAATATTAACAGAATCTAAAGGGCAGAAGGAGAGGTCATCAAGTGAATACATTTCCCCCTTCAATAATGCTGGGGTTAGAGATGCTGCCCCCCATGTTGTTCAACACCCCTGTATAACTCTTATGTCCCACCCAAAACATAACTACAAAGCGTAAACAGTTGGTTTACACACACACATACACAGAACAGTTATCACTATTAGGGTTCTCTTATGTAGAGCACTGACAGTCCTTTCCATACAGTACATGTGTAATGAAACGTAAAGGGCCTTATGACCCCCTGATCTAGAGACTGAATTAGAGATTTTGTGTTTGGGAGCAAGTAGACCACTTTGACACCTTAAGTGTTCAACTCATGGGGTTCTGGATGGCTAGGGGAACAGTATTTATTGAATATATATTATTTATTTATTTATTTAAAAATCTGTGTACTGCATAACCAAAACCCATGCAATTCAAAGGAGAAGTGTATTTTCATTGATCATTATGTACTTGAAACCCCTATCAGATTTCCTTAATGATTGCATATCAATGTATCAACATTTTGCAACCGTCTTCTTTGATATATATGAGACTTACAGTATATTTATAGTACCTGGTTTTGGTCCATATATCTCCTTGCTGCATTCCCCCCTCCCCATCTCTTTATAGCAACTGAAAGAAATTTTTGTACTGTCCATTCTGACAGCATAAATCAGACATAGCCACTGACCAAATACTGGTGACGGCTGTTTTATCAAATGATCACTGGACACATAGTATGGGTAGGAGGCAGGCAACTTCAGTTCAAACTCTACTAAGCATTGATTACCCTGGTTAGATCTACTGCTTCTCACTTGAAGGTATCACTTTGATCATGTGAACTTTCTGAGCTAAATTGTAAACAGGAAGTAACTAACCCCTTCCTTTAAAATCACAGAAGTGAAGAAAGGACAGCATAAAGAAGAAAGAGAGCCATTCTAATTCAAAAGCTTTAATCTCTTATAAGCCACCCTGGGAAGTTCCTAAAGAGTGGGATCTAAATTCCTAAAATTAAAATAATAAATGAATGAATTCAACACATTCATCTTACAGCATCATTCTTATGTTTTTAGAAAAAAGCCAAAAAAGAGAGACTAATCAGGTGTAAATTAATCTTCCTACAATGAACCTAAACAAGTATGAAATTAACTTTCTGCATGGGATAGTGGAAGCACATTCATTTTCAATCTTCTTTTGAATATTGTTTTAAAAGGAAAATACAGTGTATATGTAACATGTAATCCATGCTTCAGAGATCACCTAGAAACTCCTAAAACCCCTACTCTCAATTAATCACAGCCTTGATGAGTCAATTGCCCTTTTATATCTGGCTTTTATTATCTTTCGTGTAAAATTTTTGTTCATGGTGATAACAGAGGGTTCCCATGAGATATATACCATCTCTCTTGTAATTTCATCTCCCCAAACTATTCTAATCAAACATTCACAGTTTAACCCACCAGACTAGAAAAGAGGCAGTAATACAACTCCTAAGGAGGCCTGCTTAAATCTAACTATTTACAAGCAAATAATTTAAACAGATCTGCAACAGTATTTCAGACAGGCTTCAAGTTCCAGTATTCCTTCGTCAGCATTCCTGTACCTTTGCCTATATTTAAAAATAAAAAAGGTGAGGTGAGGTGAGGTGGAAAGAGGGGGTTGGCCTGAATCAATGACCTTCACAACAAATTATGAGAACTCACTTTAAAACTAATCTTAAGTAAACGTATCAGAGAATAACCCCACTGAACACAGCGTCAAACTTCAGAGGAAACATCTATAGAACTGTGTGGTAAGTCACACAGGGTCCGACAAAGTAAGATGTATTTGGGAGGGGGATATGAAGAGGAGACGACGTAAGATTCCGCCTCGTAAATTATAGGCAACAACTGTTGAATACCCACATCTCTATACAGAACACCACCACACTGCTAGGGGAGAGATTGCCGTGCCCCAGTGCATGGACAAAACAATGGTGACAAAAGGCTGTTCCTTAAATTTTGCTTCCCATGAACGGTTTTCTCAGTGGCCGGCGAAGGATGACGTATCCCCTCCCCGGGATTTCCCCGTCTCGTTTGCCTTTCAAACTTTCAATTCGCTTTAACTTTGCACGACCACTCTCTGTAGCAACAAAGGCACCTAGGTTCGTTTATTTTTAATCTCAGGAAATAAAAGAAAGCGCCCCCCCCCGCGGGATTAGCATGTGCTTGCTTAGTATAAAATAAACACACACACACACACAAAGGGAATCTTGCGATCGGCTTGCTTTTCCTCCCACCCACAAAAAACACGCAGCAGTTACCTGGAGAAGAAAGGCTGCGCGTCCTGGCCAGTGGGGCGCGTGTCAGAATCGGGCAAAAGGCACCCGTCCCGTCTGTCCTTCACCCCCCCCACACACACACACCGGCACAGCAGGAAGAGGAGAAGTGGCCCCAGCGGCAGTTGCCCACTTGGCGACCGCTCCAGCTGCTGCTCCTCGGGCGGCGAGGAAGGTGGCCGCTTCCCCCCCCCTCCCGGGTACAGGAGGCTAATCTGCTTCCCCACATCACTATGGCAGCGACCGGAACAGAGGGAAGAGGAAACCCTATAGGCGCACCCGGGCGAGGAGGAGGAGGAGGGAGGGAGGGAGAGAGCCTCCCGGGAGAGGCGGCTGAGGAAAGTTGGTGGCATTCAAAGGAGCGTCCCAGGGCTTGAGACAAAGGGGTGGCGAGGGCGGGCTGGCAAAAGAAGCGCCTTCAGAAACCATCGAGAGAGCAAGAGCCTCGCTGGGAGGCTTGGCAGGCAGTCGGGGGATGCCCGCGGGCCCGTGAGGGGTGCGGGGAGAAGAGACCCCCCCCCGCCCCGTCCCGCCCCTCCATATCTAGTCTTGTTCACCCCTTCCTCCCCCCCCCCACCTTCGCCCCCCGGAGGGAGGTTCTCGCTCTTCCCTCGGCCGAGGAAAGTGTCCCCCGCTCTCTGGCCTCTCCACCCGAGAGGGACCCAGGATCTGGGAAACAACAACACGCGCTGACCCAGGTCGCGAAGAGTGGGGTGGAGAGCGGGCACCGCGGGATAAAGATCACCCGGCAGGCCCTCGCTTCACAGGATGATGGGCAACGACGAAGGCGTCGCTTTCGCTCCTTGCTTTCCGACGCTGCTAGGGAACAAAAGGAGGCTGCTGGGGGCTCCGCTCGGGTTTCATCATCCTTTGAACAGCCAGCCACAACCGCCGGGCCTGGCCAGGATACAAAGGCTGGCGGTCTTTCCCAGGGCGGTGGGGGCGGCTGGGCGAACGTGGTCCTTCAAAGCCACTCTCCCGCAGCTTTGGTGAGACCACATGAGATATTTTATTTAAAAACATTTTCTGTGTCATCAGAAGTTTTTCTTGTTAACGCCAAAGCGTTGACTCCAGAGTATTCGCCTTATTCCGCAGCGTCCACATTTTCCCCCAGCAAAAAACAGATTATTTTTTTAAGTGCTGAGGATGCAACTTCCCCTTACCTAGAAGCAGAGTTTTGAGGGCTCCCTTACGGACTATGGGGAGAATGCATCCACTAGTATTGCCATTGGCCATGATGACTGAAGACTAGGAGTTCCAGTTGAAAAAGTAACTCTTCCAAAGTCTGCCTTGGAGTAAACCTCAATGAAGTCAAAGAGACTTACATCCTGAGTAAACATATATGGGACTGTTGCACTGGACAACAGTAATTACTCTTTAAAATCCATGCCCCACACCCATTTAAATCACTGGCACTTTAAGAAATGCAAAGATGGAGTAGGAAAAGAGAGGTTAGACAGGAAAGGAAGAAACTGTTGACACTTCACTAAATCATGGGTTAACATTCGGACACAGGTTGCAAGACCACACATTCCTCCCACTTCCATTTTGTACTGTGCACTTTTATTGGGCACTGTAATTATGGTAATTATATTGGTGGTGGTGATTATTGCTGTTAGGATTAGCCAACATTCCCGCTTAACTCAGATTTTAAAAAAAAGGGGGGGTCAGGTCTTAGTTGTGGGAACCCTAGCCTAACCATACTTAACTTAGCTAATATAATTGCATCATAGTTGATGCCTTGTCCAGGAAGAGGGAATATGTGATTCCTCCAGAAAGTTGCCAGTGGTTTAAGCTCAATCAGACGGTCATTTTAGCAAAAGGCCTAAGTTGGAAAAATACAAGAAACTGAACAGTGTATTTTTATAGGTAGCTGTACAAATCTGTATAATACTTTGTTATTTGCAAGGTATTAAGCTGTCCCCAGCTGAATAATAAAGTCTGCAATTCAGGCAGTAGCTCATTAATGAAGTGTGGGAGAATCAAACGTAGATATGAACATTAAAAGCTTGGAGAACAAATTCCAAGTGAGGAACAAAAGAGCTATTAGCAGTTCCTTGATGATGACAGTTTCAGGTATTTATAGCAACAAAACTGAAAGTATGTTTTAGAATTTTAAATCTCTGATTTAAAGATTTAAAGTTCATGTGACAAGTTATGAAGAGGATTACAAGCTGGAGTAGTGTGTGAAAAGATTTCACAAATACAGTATTACAGGAAAGCGGTTACACTGAAGATGTGTGAGGTTCTGTTTAAAGAAGCAAACAAAGTTTTGCTCCTGTTTCATCACCTCCACATTTGGTTGTACTCTTGAACAATTTAACTGTTTCTTAAGCCAAGTTTTGAACTAGTTTTCTGTCTCTGGGGATCTGTAAATTAGGGCAGAAAGTGACAACTCCCATGTCATAATATCAAACCATGGGTACCAAAGCTAATGAACAGATACATTGCTTCCTCTGTTCAAAGCAAACTAATT